TAAAATATGGCATCAAAAAAGCTTGATGGAAACTGTGAAAATAAAAAAAATGTTAAAAAAAGGCAAACTGTTTTTTTAGCTCGCAGGAGTTGGTTTTTGGCTTTTGCACAACAAGGCTTGATGCAGAAAGCAGGAGATGGAAACCCTTTTTTGGAATCAGGTCTGATGTAGCAAACTTTTACTGACACGACTGATCAGATTTTTTTTTATAATGTGGCCATCTTCCCGAAGGGTCCAACTATGCGCTTAAACGTGGCTGGAAGCAGCATCACCTTTACTAACTGACATTTTAATGTAACAACAACTTGCCAGACAGCGACTCATTCGTTAAAACTAAAATGGAAGCCGCACTTATAATGTTTCCGGGGGTGTGGAGGTGATTTCCGATGGTTTGCAGTCTACCTTTCCAATTTAAAGTTCAAATTACAGCTCCTGCATTGTGCATAATACAAAAAGTGTACATTTTAAACTATAAAAAACTGCACTACATCATAGCATTTCTATTGTGGTTTTAAGCCGGGCTTAGGTGTTAGTATACACCAGATGCTCTTATATGTTTTTAAGTATCTTAAAGGACGTACCATTTGAAAGATAAATGTTAGAGTTCCACAGATGCGTACTGCTTTGTTGAACCGCAGCTCCAGATACTGTGAAACAAAAACAACAGATGTCTGTATTAGAGGCCACTCAGCAGACATACAGGTGTAGTAAATATTTTTTGCATACCTGGTAAACACTGGAGAGTCGTAGTCTGTACAACACTGGAATGAAAACATGAGCAGGAATTAAAAGCCCTAGGATGTAAGCGCAGCCGATGAACCAGTACTGGGTGCCATGAGTGTAAATCTCAGCCGGGACGCCGATGATGGCCACTGCCGACTGGAAGGAGGCGATGAGCGAGAGGGAGACGGGAAGGCATCGCATGTTCCTGTCTGCCATCAAGAACTCCTGTGTGGTGCGCTGCCGCCCCCCAGACAGGGCGTAGTACAGCCCGATGCCTGCAGAGGCCGCCAGCAAAAGAGCAAACACAACATAGTCTGCAACTTGGAAGTGCTTTTGATCGGACGGCTCCATCTTGGTTTGTTTTCTGGCACGAGTCCAAGGTGCTCTTGGTGTAGCTTCCTCATGCAGTTTGAAAAGGCTTTTGTTCAAATTTCTCAGCCAAGAGATTTCAAAAAACCTGCAGAAAAAAAGAAACAAACAAACATGACTATTGGGAATAGAGTAATAAATAATCTGCTTTACAGTTTTGGAACTGTAAGCGATCCAAATAAGCTCCACATGCCTTTATGCTGTCTGAACACAACGACTTGCAGCATCTCTGTATTGCTACTTGAGAAAACCTGCTGCCTAGAACACAAAGCAGCTGTGTCCTTGCAGCTCTGAAAATAAGGCCCGCTTGAGCAGCGTGACGATCAGACTTCTGTGGTTGAATCTTATGGTTCTACAACAAGAAAAACAAAGAAACTTTGATTTTTTAAAAGAACTTTTGTCAGTTTGGGTTAATTGTGATTTTGAAAAAGATTTTTAAGCTATTAAGGCTGTTTTAGTGCAGATATGTTGTTGGGTAGCAAGCTTATCAAGACTCAGCATAGAGTTTAGTCTGTTATAAACAAGGTCAGATAAAGGGTCTGTGACCTCCTGGCTCAGACGCTGTGAAAACAGAAAATGATTGGAGGATTAACAACAATTTCCTTGGTCTGTAACCATCTGGCATAAAAATTAAATCGGCAGAATGGCTCCTGATTCCCTACAGGAGCAAAAAATGACGGCTTTAAGTAAAACAATTACAGAACATCTTTATTATATCTCAGAATGTATTCCTTAGTTATAATATTGTATAAAGTATGTAGCAGACTTTCTTAAAATGCCACAAAGTGAGTCTCCTTGTCAAACAGAAACCAGTTTTTTCTCTTCAGGAATAAATCTAACATAAAAGAAGCTTTAATCCTAGCAATCTGATTTTAGGAGCGCAGAGAAAGATTAAATAAGCTTTAATAAATGAGTTAAGGTTTGAAATCCAACTAAGCTTTTGATCAATAGATACAAAAAAAAAATTTCTGCTGTTCAATCAAAACAATGAGGCAACAATTCTTTGTGGTCTACAAAAGCATCAATGTGTCCTTTATTCTGCTTTGTTTTGAGTTTGATCAAAATTAGAGGGATATTTTTTGAGACAAATTGCATATTAGGGATGTTTTCTATATGGAATATTCCTCTGAAATACTAGAAATGGTGGCCTAATGTTAGAGCAGGGAGTTAGATATTATAGATATTAAAAACAGACCTCCATTTAGATTGCCTGAGCAACAACTTTAACCCTAGGATGCTGAAAAATCCCAGTGGATAGGTTAATTCAGAGGAGACATTTTATAGGACAAAACAAAAGTTGCAATGACAAAAGAGATGATTATTCCTTATAATCCAAACTGGCAGATTAGATCTTAAAGAAAACCAGAAGTTGGTGCAACAGATTAAATAGGAGTAAAGTAAACAATGATCATCATTATGCTCATAATTGTTTTCTTAGCTTGTTGAAATGCCACATAATAAAATATATATGCAAACAAGTAAATGTGATGTTTTTTTTTTTTTTACATTATTAGAAAAAGCTGGAAAAAAAAACCACTTGGTCAACTTTAACAGGTAATAACCCTGTTGGTCTGTCTTCAGATTTCACTTTTATCATTTAAATCTCAGCACCAGAACACTTGAAATAAAATAAACTTTAACAAAATTAAACATCACTAAAGTTTTTTTTTTTTTATCTTTTCTTTTAAGGCAATAAAGTCTGTTTAAACATGATGCATAACTTGAGTCAGACTCACCTTTATAGGTAGCAGGTAGCGCTGACATCCGGGTCACATTCGCTGTCAGCGAACACATGTTTGTTGTGACATCCAATAACTCTACATTGGTTGATTAAAACAGGTTTCCAGGTGAAAACTCTGGGCCTTTTTCCTGAGTCGAGGCCCTTTTTTGCAAAAACTCGACTAAAGTGTTTCTTTTTCTCCCTGTTGTTCGCATTTAGAGTCACCTCTAGCCTACAGCCTGGCTAGTCTGCTGCTCCATGTGAAGGTGCCTGTTTTGGATTCTCTTCTTCTTTTCTATCATGGCGGATCGCAAGCAACTTTAAGGTGCATACCGCCACCTACTGTTCATGAGTGTGTAGCAACATTGTTTTACAT